CATTTGTGTGTAGGAATAGCAATGAGCAAGTCCGGGGCGGGAATCACGATATCAATACTCGTTACATAGCAGTTTTGATCCAAATTGGGTAATTTATCATGAGATGCGAGTCAGGACATGTCGATTAATGTGGATATGTAACTGAAAAGGAATCTTACGTATTCCTTTTTTATTAAAAAAAAAACAAGAAACAAATTACATACAATAAATGTAGTTAAATTATTCGAGAATTTGAGATTTTCACTCATTTATAACTTCATCATAACTAAAATATAAGATAACAAAAGTAAAATTCTAAGTAATTTGAATCAAAGTGTGGATACTTTAGATAAAAGTACATCAAAAATGGAATGGCTCGGGATAGATTAGATCAAAGAGTGTACCTATGTCCGGAACCGGATCACCTCAGTAACCCTTCCATCAGTAACCATCAGTAACCTCTTCCCCTCGCCCCCACGTGTCAGTCTTTTTCTTTTATTAAAATTCAACACGGAGGGGTAATAGGGTAAATTGTACCCCCTATTTAATGCTGACGCTGATGATCTGATGCTGACGCTAACGCTGACGCTCTGACGCGGATCCCATTCTCCCACCCCACCTAGTTCTCTTCTCTTTTACTCTTTGTTTTATTATTAGAAAAAGTACATTATTTCCTCTCTCTCATCTACAAAAAAAAAAATGAATCTAATCATCCTAGCTATCTTTGTTCAAATTTCAACTCAAATTAAATGGTGATTTTTTCGTTAAATAATTTAGTGCGAAAGACAGTAATTACAAATATGAAATTTATTATCACTGTCTACTATCATGGTAAAACATGGTAAAATACGTTGAAAAAAATTACAAATCTAACTACTATACACTACCAGTATACCACATGGTATAACGTCGTAAAACATGCTACAGAAATTTACAAATCTATTTACCATATCATACCATATGGTATAACATGCTAAAATAAAATTACAAATCCAAATACCACCACATGGTAAAACATGTTACAAAAAATTATAAATCTAACTACCATACAATACCACCATAGTAGAACATGGTTAATCGAATGAACACAAATTAATTGTAATTACCATACAATACCACATGGTATGAGAAGGTAAAACCATACAAAAATAATATAAATCTAATTACAACCCTTTACAACCATAGTAAAACACGATATCCATAAAAATACATTTCGTTACCACACTTTACCATATGGTATAGACACATTACCATATGGTATATACACATTACCATATGGTATATACAAATTACCATATGGTATAGTGTGGTATATACACATTACCATATGGTATATTGTGGTAATCTCGGTATATATGTATATATATATATATATACAATTACGACTCTCTTCACTTTCTTCTCCAACTTCATTGTCTTCTAACTCTTTTTTCTCAGAACTGGAGTCGATTACCACCCACTACCACCATGATAAAACTCGTGACCATAAAGATACATTTAGTTATCACACATTACCACATGGTATAGTGTGGTAATATCAATATATATTACCTAAAAGGAAGAAAAACAGAAGGGGGAGAGACAAAAAAACTCGTCTTCTGTCTCCTCTCATTTCTCCTTCGCAATCAAGAACATCAAATGCAACAAAAAAAGAGGAGGAAGATCGGAATTGAAAATTCACAAACAAATACTAAAATATAAAACATGCAAACTTAACTCACATAGATCCGTCCCCTCTTGGTCAATATGGAACGTCATCTATTTTGAGGCCAAGAAAAGAAAGAACATAAGGAAGAAGCAGCTGCAAAGAAGGATTTGGAGCGTCACCAGATTTTGAGACATGATGCTGCAATTTTTCTTTGTCAATTGTTGAAGAAAAAAAATAAAGAACAAAAGAAAGGAACATATCTAGATCTGGGAAAAGGAGTTTGGAAGAGAGAAGGAAGAGAGGAAAGGAAAGAGAAAAGAGGGAGGAAGAGAAAAGTCTGGTTTCTCTTTCCTCTGTAAAAATAATAATATAAATGCTAGAAAAGTAGAAAAAGACAAGAAATAAAATTCAAAAACCGGACAAAAATGCTCCTCTCCACCCCACGTCAATCCCAGACACACAATGATTTTGTCTCATATCAACGGCCCATAAGTGGTTACTCACAGGTCAGTAACCGCCGGTTACTGACCCCATCTCAAGTCCCTATGTCCACCCGCTGGATATTATCGCCCAATAGGCCAAACAAATAAGGAAAACATATGAGATTGAAATTGCCATTTGTACGGATACCAGACATAGTCGGATGGGGCTATCTTTAAAGAGATTGTGCATTACTTCGCTATCCATACTGGATTTAGTGTTCGATTTGTAGGTCGGCGTAACAATAGGGTAGCTCATTCGGTGGCTCGTAAGGCCCTTTATTTGTAAGCGACTATGAGTTGTTTATTCGATTATCAGACCTGACTGAATTCACGGATGTAACTATTTATTTTTTAAATCAATATATAATTATTTTTTGTCAAAAAAATGGCCATTTGTAATTCGTTAATCCGTTTAATAGTGTTATGCTCTTGTCTTGTGTTGTCAATCTTTAGCTTAGTTGCTAAGTAAGGAATATGGGGCAGAGCTAAGGAGAGCAAGCAGTCAACGTCACAAACTGGGCCCCTGGGCCCGACCCACAATCCGCCTTCAGGAATTCCACTTCTTCAGACTCACCACAACCAAAAAGCCCACACACTACTACCTCTCACTATCACATCCCTCTTTTGTGAATATCAAACTCATTTCATTCAACTCAAATCTTTTTTTTTTTTTTGAGAGAGAACTCAAATCATAATTATCAAAGTGATTCAATCAATTTATCCTGCGTCTTAGTTTTTTCCTTTTCTTCTTTCTTCTGTTAGTTCTGTACAAGATGTGGGCTCCATATCGGAAACTCGTACCACAGTCCATGTCTCGATTCTCACATCCAGAGTTTATGTTAATTTTGTTTATCATTTTTAAGAATTAAATTCATCTCGATAACTCAAAATACATCCCCAAAAAACTAGTTCGGTTGCTTTGATTTCGAAGGCAGTATGGCAAGAGTGGCGATGGCGGCAGTTGCATAATTTGAATTCATATGTGTCTAGTCATTTCGAGTTGCGGAACAATTGCACGTAAGAAGATAGTGACAATGGTAGAAGTTGCATAGAGTTGCAAAGGATCTTACCAATTTGAGTTGTAGATGCGGGTGAGATCTTGGGTAATATGTTGGAACTATAATCCAAAGTAATAATAGTACTATTTTGAGATCAACTTATTTTTGCTTCATAATAATTTGTATGCTTTTCATTATTCAATCATCGGTTTTAAATAGTTTGAACTTCTTGCCGACTTATAACATCACAATCTTTGAAAACGGTCCTAATAAAAAAAAAAATCCTCAATAATCACTTAAGGTGATCATGAAACCCTGCTAACAAACAAACAAATAATAGTTGCTTTCAATGTGAATTTCATTTAGAATGTAATGAATAAATGTTATGGCAATCAAATACTAAGAAGTGAGCCAGTAACAAAATACTCTTATGTTGTCTTCTTAACGTGATGAGATCAAACCCTTTCATAAACATACATAGAGACTTACTATTCTTTTACCAAAACTTATTGTGTCTAATGATAGAGCCCAAAAAAAAAAAAAACACTGACGGAGGACATGGATTCACTGGTGGTCACATGACTATAATGTTACTTTCCAGATTGGTACAAGATAGGTGCATGATTCTTTCATAACTAGATCTCATCTCTTGATTTGAAGTGGGGGCGTCTAAGAAGTGAGAATAAATGAGCTTTTATTTTTCATAATTTTTTAATCGAATTTTATTTTCATCGTACTAACTTGGATTACAAAAAAAATTCACAGATGGAACGGTTTGTTGATCTAAAAAATGAGATTAATTTTCAATATATTTTAAATATGTTTTTCATACCACTGGTTACCACCCAATTAGCACCTTGATACCACCTTCGTTTTTAACTTAAAATTTTATTAATTTTGCTAGGAATGAACAAGTTTACCGTGATCTATTGGATCTAAATTTATGGAGAAATTTATTTTTTGAATTAAATATACCACTTTATATCACCTCGGTATATATATGATGGTAACTGATGGTAGACAATGATGAAATATGATAAATGACAGTTAATATTTTTTTATTATAATGTATACAATCATTCTATACTATTGTATATTCATACAATCATGGTACACTTTCATACCATGTGGTATAGTGATCTTATGTACATACCAAATGGCAGCACATGATATGCACTCATAGTAAAGTCTCAATTTTATTTTGCTCCAAAATATATCAAAATAGATATCATTTTGAAGAGCACAATTAATTTTATTTTTCTGTTCAAATAATTTTTTTCAACTTAAAATAAAAGAGATATAACTCGTTAAAATTTATTTATAGAAAAGTTAATAACCCAGTATAGAATACTGCAAGATTATGCACTCATAAATTATGCATCATTACCTTCTAAACAAAATTTTAATCCATAAAAAAAAAATATGTAATAACTATAATTTAGCAATATGTATATCCAATCGATTGATTTTGTAAATCGACTTCCGCCCCAAATAGCATTCGCTACTCGTTATTATGGGTCGAGTCCAAAAGATCCTTTAATACTGGAGATCTCGCCAACTAAATATTAATATTTGAATATAACATGAGTGGTCTTTATAGATTTCAAACCTAGCAAATAAATTTTGTATAAAAGAAGGTACAATAAAACTTATATATGGGTTTTTAAGATCTCCCAATACCACGTTACTGCCTGTAAAAAAAAATTAGTATATTATCCAACATGGTACTTACTACTTACCAGAAACAACTACTATTTTGTGAAAAAACAAGAGGGTTGGGTGCTTAAAAACAACCCCATACATTGTTTTCTTTTAGGAAAAAAGAAGCAATAGTCTCCACAAGATATCAGCCATGTACTGTTCTCTTACCCTATACTTGACAAAAAACTTTTTTCAAGCTTTACAAGAAACAAGTGATTGGATCTCAAGTTGCCTTTGTCTGTTAACTCTTGCAATGAAGTCCTCTATCCTTCTGTTAAGCTCATCTCCTGCTCCCCTTCCTCCTTTTTCTTCAATGTCTTCTATTTTATCTTCTACTAATTGCTCCTTGACTTTCTCTTCATTATTCACATTTTCATTTATCACACTTTGTTCTTCTTGTTCAACTATCTCATCCTCAAATGAAGTCGTAATTTCATCCACTACGATGACACTTTCACTATCCGATTCGCTCTCCACTGCTTCATCCTCAAATAAAGTAGTTTCATCATCGACAACAACAATCCCTCTCTCCGTTTGGCCTGCCACCACTTCATCATCTAACGACACAACTTTGACAATCCTTCTCTCCACCTCGCATGCCATTTCAGTAGATTTTTCTTGAGTCGAGATCGAAGGTGACGTGACCAATTCCCTTTGAGCTCTAGCTCTACCAACGTACTCATCGTAGACATCACTGATCCGAGAAGATCTCCGTGATGAACCCTCGTGACCGCTGAGCCTTGATTCTCCAACCAGGTACACCACAATGACATTGACCAAGACAAAAACACACTTGGGACTAGAAAGGCACGACAACACGTTGGGGAGATGGAGGAACAAGAATTGCTTTGTGGGTGTATACAATAAAAGGGCACACCCCACTATCATCAGTGAATTCATAGCAAGATTTTGAAGAAACACACTGTGAGCTGCCTTCCTCTTCCTCATGGATTGAACCCTTTTGGCCTTGTTGAGTGTCACCATTGTATCCATTGGCTTGATGGGCTCTGATCAATTTCCTGGAGGGAAAGAAGAAAATTTTGGCCAAGTGTGTAACTTTGTGATTGAGTGATGTTATTGAAGGTGGTAATGTTGGGATTTAGAATCACACATTGGACGACTGAAAGGATGGAATCCATGGTGATGGGTATTTATAGAGTAGAATGGGATTGTGGGAAGTGGATTGGATATGGGATTGTGATATCTGTACTTATTTTCCTTGTGTGGGATTCAAAAGTTGGTGACTTTAATTACTTTGATGTGTTGTTGGCTTTGCTGCGTTACTTCGTTGGGTGCATCTAAGGAAAAGCTAGAGCTTTTGATGGAAACAGCCAAATGGCCGGTTTTGAGTGGGGGAGAGGTGCGTTTTCAACTTTTTTATTTATAGGCCCATTCCTACCTAGCTTCTCGTCCATATTTTATTGTCTTTCCAAGATTCTTGTTCTCTTTAGATGTTTGATGGTTTTGAAGTTCCCCACTGCCATGTCCAAAAGCAACATCCCCTAGGGTTTTCTCGCCGGTTTCCACTTCTAAAACTACCTACCAATGTTTAGAGCATTCATTGGACATGCCAGAATTTCAAACGGAACATGAATTGAGTTTCAATTGGGAAGACACGTAAGAGAATGATCATATATGTATAGACACGTAACGAATTATATATAACTCACCATTTATAATTCGACCTTATCCAACAATTTAAGCCATTGAACCGTCAAATTGGCTCTCGATCTTCCTGTATCAGCTGATATTTGGTTACCATTCCATTACACACTAGTAGGTGAAACCTTAGGAGTTAAGAACATGCTAATCATCAGGATCTAATTGTTTTCCATGGGATTTGAATATTATATTGTTGCCTTTACTTGGTTCAATGGAGGCCATAGAAAGGTGAAAGCAATGGCAGCAGAAAAGGAACACAAATCATGGTGGTGTTGAATTTTTCACACTTGACCTTTTCCTTTCCCTGCATGGTAAGTTAAGTAAAAGGAAGTGTCACGTAAAACCACTCTTATTTCAATATTCCCTTCCTCTGGCTCCACTGCTTGCTTTGCTTTTCGATCAGCCGGCCGGTTCTCTGCCGCGTAGATTTTTCCTTTCGATCTCCACCTCCCCTGTACTTTTCTTCTCATATAGTTCCCATGAATGATTGGAGATCAAAAGCTTCACGTGTCCCAAATTTGGGATTTATCGATCGCACATTCTTCAACCTCATTTATCAGGCGATCCAACAAAAGAAGCACATCATAATTATGATTATCATCAGTGGCGGAGGGAGAGTAGAGCAGGGTGGGTCCACCATGCATGGTTCGGAGTAAAAATGATTATATTAAATATAATAGTTAGCTTATAAAAAAAATTAGTGGGCATCTAATTGAGATTTGAGAAGTGTTGATCGAATTTTGGCGACATAATTTCTTAAGCATGTGGTATTCAGATTTGTGCAAACTTCAATTTCGTATAAGCTGACTTTTTTACGAGGGAGCATGCTAGTAAATTGTATAAGATTTATTGTTGAACCTCTCTCTACAGTTCGAGTTATTAATATTAAATGGTTCTTGACAAAAAACATCATTCGAAAGCGAAGAGCTAACTGAATAATGAATTATTGTTTGGTGTAAGATTCATTATTCACCTTCTCTCAATGACTCGACTTATTGATAGTAAATAGTTATTTAAACAAAGAACCCCATTCAAAAAGAGAATGACTCATTAAATCACTAATAAGTATTTGGTACATACCTAGAGTGATATTCTTGATAGTTTCGAAAAAAGTTCAATACAATATTATATCAAGAATGATTAGAAAAGTTAACAAAAACTATTTTTATCATATATATTTTTCTTCAAAAGGGTGCTCGAGGTACGCACTCCCTGTTCCATTCAATTCCATCCAATCCTGTTCTTAGAATGTAATTTTTTTGATGGTTTTGTGCAGGGGCGGAGCCAGGATTTGCAAGACCGGGGGGGGGGGGGGACTTTTTTTGTGTGCGTATTATCATCCCATGTTAATAAAAGATAATTCATTATATAGAAGGATAAAATTATCTATTTGTCATAATCGTCGAAAATACGTTTGAGATAATTAAAAAACCTAAAGATATGATCCAAACTAAAATTTCTAGTACAATATGTTCAAGATAAATAATTGAATTACCAACAAAAAATGTAATTTTTTCAATTGTGCCATGCATGTACTCTTATTGCAACTTAAAAGTGAATATATGAGAATACTAGAATTTTGAGAAAGAAAAATCTACAAAAGTTCAAAATTAAATGGAAATCGCTTTATATAAACTGCTAACACAGAGAATTGAACCTTGATCCAAGCAACTCAATGGAAGCAATTCCTCCACTAGAGTAGAAGCAATTTCATTATTACTTGTTGATGCTTTATATATTAATATAACAAATGTAACTTATACGTAATTTCCAAAATTCTCGACGTATATATAAGCGATCTTCAAAATTCTGTTTGGGGGGGGGGGGCAACGTAGCTCCGCCCCTAGTTTGTGGTCTCCCTCCGATTTGGAGACTTGCTTCCGCAATGGCCACTCCTTGGCTCACGACGAAGAAAAACGGCAAAGGGGAACTTGGGGAGAGGAAGGGTCAAGAAATGCGGTTGGGGTAGGAGCTTGGTTGGGTGTGGTTGGGTCTGACGTGGCTATTTTTCTGATGTAGCAGGTTAGATTTTATTTTATTTTTGTTATAATTAAGTGATTTATCGTTTCTATTAGCCACGTGAGCAAAAAACTGACGTTGTTAACGGAGACTAATGAAAAGTGACCAAACTTGAAGTATTTAACTAATTCTAGTGAACATGAATGAAATAAAATATTTTTAGTGGCAAACATGAAACTTTTTAGCAATCTCAGTGACCAAACTTGAAATTTATGTTTTTCAAATACTTTCAACGTTTATCATATGCCCCGAAGGAACATACTTTCAACGTATATATGAGTATTTAAGATCACATTACTCTGATAGAACTAAGATTGCTTGTGCAATTTTTCCTTCAATTTTTTAAGGATGATATAGGTTTATTTTTAGTGATTTTAAGTATACTTAAGAAATTTTAACCTGAGACTCCAAGTTCAAAATTTGTCATACTACCACTAGGCCGCCAAACCCTCTTTCGTCAAAAGTTGAATGAAAATTTTCTCATTGAACTTATAAGCCGTTCAAAAGTTTCAACGATAATTAATACATTTGTGATTTGAAAATTACATTAGAAGTAATTACAAATTTCACCTTCTCAATTTGGCACAACCAAACTATTTTACTGAAAAAGAGAATAAGTCATTAGAGCTTTTGATGGATATAATTTGACGAATCATAACCATCAATTTTTATTTCTCATTAAATTGATCTAAGTATATGAGATTTATAGAGCTAAGATATAGATTATAATCGGTTAAGGAGTTGAGAATAGTATCTGATGTCAAACTTCGATCAATTCAAAATCTAGATTACATCATTCTTTTACTCACGGTATGTCATACCTTTGTTTTTACCCAATGAATGATAAAACCTCCCGTACGTAATATGATCTTATCCAACAATTCAAGTGGTTGGACGGCCAAACCGGCTGTCGACCGACAAATCTTAGGTTTGATCTTACTATATATATCAGATATTTTATTTCCATTCCATTACACTAGTGGGTGAAACCTTAACAGCCTGTTTGGATACAATTCCGGAAGAAATGGAAATGGAAATGGAATTCAATTTTTTATTTTTATAGAATTCCATTTCCAATTCTAGTGTTTGGTATAATTCCTACGACTATGGAAATGAATTGCACTTTTAACCATAATGAATAATGTAATATGTTTGTTTTATTTTGGGAAATGAAATATGAATGAGAGAGAAAGAGAGTAAAATGATAGTGGGTCAACAAAATAATAAAAAGTATTGATGGGTCCCACTAATTCCATCTGCATTCTCTCAATTTCTATCACTTTTGATAGGAATTGTAATTCCCATATTTTAGACCCATTGGAATTCACAGCCTGTTTGGATCGACAAAAAACTCAGGAATTGGAATTCCATTTTCAATTCCAATTCCATATTTTATGTTTGGAAGGATAAGAAGGTTGAGAAATGAATTCCATTTGGGCTAAGTTTTGGGAATTACAATTCCTATCAAAAGTGATAGGAATTTTGTTTATGAAGATGGAATTAGTGGGTCCCATCACTATTTATTATTATTTTATTAACCAACTATCACACTACTCTCTTTCTCTATCATTCATATTTCATTTCCCAAGATAAAATAAATATATTATATTATTAATTATTGTTAAAAGTGCAATTCATTTCTTTAGTTGGAGGAATTATACCAAACACTAAAATTGGAAATGGAATTCTATAAAAATAGGAATTGGAAATAGAATTCCATTTCCATTTCTTCTTGAATTGTATCCAAACAGGCTGTCAATTCTCAACCTTTTTATTATTCCAAACATAATATATGGAAATGGAATTGGAAATGGAATTCCAATTCCTTACTTTTTTGTCAATCCAAACAGGCTGTAAGAGTTACGAACAATTTAATCATCAGGATCTAATTGTTTCCATGGGATTTGAATATTATTGTTGCCTTTACTTGGTTCAATGGAGGCCAAAGAAAGGTGATAGCATCATAGCAATGGCAGCAGAAAGGAGCGTAAATCACACTTGACTTTTTCCCTGCATGGTAAGTTATAAAAGGAAGTGTTACATTAAGGGGTGGCTATACGGTCCGGTCCGGTTAAATTGACCCAAATTGATCAGGTCCAATCCGGTTTTGACCCGGTCCGGTCCCAATTCGGACTTGATTTTATATTGAGCTTGTGGGGATTTTAGTGGCCTAAGGCCTGAAAGGGTGAGTAGTTGGTTAAGTTTTGTACTAAGTGCAAAGGTTTGTGACCGTTTATGCAAATTACCCTTAAGTTTTGGGTGTTGAGCTCTTATCCGATCTTTATCCAGTTTTCGATTCGGTCCCGAACGGTTTTTTACCTCAAATCTAAGTCCAAAGATTGTATTGCATTGTTTACTATCCTATCCTGATCCGATCTCGGTCCGAGTTATACGATCTGGTTTCAGGTAAAACTAAAAAATCCGGACCAAATAGCCAGCTTAGTTACGTAAATACCTCTCTCATTTCAATATTCCCTCCACTGCTTGCTTTGCTTTTCGATCAGCCGGCCGGTTTCCCATGAATGATTGGAGATCAAAAGCTTCACGTGTCACCAATTTGGGATTTATTGATCTCACATTCTTCAACCTCATTTTTCAGGAAATCCCACAAAAGAAGCACATCATAGTGATAATAATATATAGTATAATGCAAGTACATGTACATCATAGCTAGATGTGATCCCTCTTAATAACCCGTTGATCTCAATAAATCTAGTTATTTAATAGAAGTTCAATCGTGAATCTTATATCATACATACTAACATACCCCCTCAAACAAAAACCATTTATATAAGTTTCAAGTTTGCACAGGTCCGAACACCATGTACGATGTACTTAACAGAACAGAAGAGGCCATCAAAATTCGAACATAAAACCTCTTAATCACAGAATATTCTGATATCATGTCAAGAACGTTAATCTCAATAACATGAATTATTTAAATAGGTCCAATCGTTCATCTTATACCACACGTAGTAATACCTTCAATCCCAAAAACCAAATTTTTTTCCTAAATCTCTCAATTTTAAAAATCCTACAAGCAAACGCAAATGCTACTCTATAAGTCTACAAAGCCAATAAGCCGGGCCCACATCCAAATAATCCCGAGTCAGTCCCCCTCAAAAGTCAAACCCTCCCTCTTTTAGGATCAAATAAGAATATGGGCTGACAAATGGATCCCTAATAAACCCAGTTACAGTCCCGACGTCGTTCCTATGGGGGCTGATCTTATTCCTAATGAGCTCATGTGTCTCGCAATGCAAACAAATTGGGCCATGGTTTTGCTTTGGGATTGTACTATGTATTGGGCTGAATGAACGAGGCCCAGGAGGTCTCTCCTGATAATATGACGCAACTTTGATCACTTTCATCCTATCGCCACAAACGGCTAAATTACACGTTTGGTCACTCAAATTATATAAATTTTTCATGTTTGTCATCCGAATTACTTTTCTTTCTTATTCACCACTAACTTTACGAATTGTTTTACCGTTAGTCACCCGCCGTTACACTCCGTTAAGTTTGTCCTACGTGGCAGTCAACTATAAAATTTGACCGTTAACTAGATGACGTGGAAATTAAAATGAATTAAAAAATAATTTTATTTTTCCACCTCATCATTCCACTTACTTTGTCTATATGCTTTATCATATTGATGATTTAATTAAAATTAATTAAATTATAAAATTAATTCCTCCTCCTTCACAACTCAGGTGAAGCTTTGCTCCGACGCCTCCAGAGCACCAGCTATCTCCTTCATCCTCCTTTCCCTTCTCAGGCCGTCTTTGTCTAGTGTATAAGCTTTGAAAAAAAAAATGGGCATGTGCAAGAGATCCAGCGGGCAGGTGCTCCGGTCACTGTCTCCCCGCGGCCGATTCCCGTCGTACAACTCCGCCGCTCATCTCTCATCTTCCTCGTCCTCATCGGCGTTCGCTTCTTCCACGAGCTCGAGCTTTTACTCTCCGTCGTCGGCCTTCTTCCGCACCACAGCTCCACCACACAGATCCGCCTCTCCGACGCGCGTCAATGTATATCCCCAGAGTCCTTCGTCGCCGACGTTCCGATTCTCGATCGACAGATCCACATCTCCCAATCGCAGCATATCCGTCACGACGAAGCACACCAATCACATCTCCAGCCTCCCGCGAGGAAGACGTGTATGTGCTCTCCGACCTCGCATCCCAGATCGTTTTGTTGCAGTCTCCACAAGAACAGCCCCCAGAACGGCCACGCCGGAGGGAGCTCGTTCATTGGCGAGGCAGTAATAGGTTTCCCTCCCCACCCAGATTTTTCATTTCTCTTGCTTTTCACAATTCATGGTCCCTTTCCCCACTGCCCACAGAGCATTAGGAATTAAGTTGGGGGCGGCAGCAGCAGATAGAGCTGGGTCAGTCTTCTCTTGCTTCCTACTACTTGTCTCCAGTCCCACCACTCACCGCCTCTAACATATTGCCTTCTTCTTCTTCTTCTGTCCAGGCGAGCAAAGCAAAGATAGGAAAGGGTAATCTCATTCATTCATGCCTAACCACCAAATCAAATCAAATTAACAAGGATTCCCTTCCCCTCTTCCCCACCCCCCACACCATTTACTCCCTCCATTCAAAATGTTAGCAAAGGCAAGACAGTGAATCTCTTCAAATCCTTTCTTCATTTCATTCCCATTCCTTCCCATTTTCACCCCATCACCAGCGGGCAACTTAATTATTGCTCCATTACTTCCCCCACCCTCAGTCCAGGTGATTAATTTTCAAAATTAATCTCGTTTATTATTTATTTATATGCAATGATACCACCCTCTTCTTATTTTACAGTCAATTTACAGGGACCTCACCTCACCGCCTCCCCTGCCTTCCAGTTCCATTCCCTTCTCCATTCAATCACCGCCTCGGAAAGCAGATGACGTGGAAGGAGGAGGAATTCTCTCGCTAATAATTAATTTTATAATTTAATTAATTTTAATTAAATCATAAATATGATAAAGCATATAGACAAAGTAAGTGGAATGATGAGGTGGAAAAATAAAATTATTTTTTAATTCATTTTAATTTCCACGTCATCTAGTTAACGGTCAAACTTTATAGTTGACTGCCACGTAGGACAAACTTAACGGAGTGTAACGGCGGGTGACTAACGGTGAAACGATTCATAAAGTTAGTGGTGAATAAGAAAGAAAAATAATTCAGGTGGCAAACATGAAATATTTGTATAATTTGAGTGACCAAACGTATAATTTAGCCCGCCACAAATAGGGGTGTGCAACGGTTCGGTTCGGTCCGGACCGGACCAAACTCATGAGAACCGCGGTCCATTAGTGAAAAACATGTTAGGACCAAGGACCGGACCATTCTTGCATTTGGTCCATTTGGTCCGGTTCGGTCCGATCCAAATATGAGCTCGGTCCACCATTTCTTCAGTAATTATAAAATTCATGAGGACCAAGAACCGGACCGCATTTTACTCGATCTGGTCCGATCCGGTCTTAACAACGGTTTGGTCCGGTGTGGTCCGGTACGGACCAGACCATTGCACACCCCTAGCCACAAACAAACCCTTTCATCCGCTCTGTAGTGTTGTCTCATCTCATCACACTCGATCGATCGATCGATCGATCTCCAGTTCTCGCACAGCCATGGCGCAAACCCTAGCTCGTTCCTCTCGTCATCTCCCCATCTCCTCGCTCATCACCAAACGACTGATCTCCTCCTCCTCCTCCTCCGCAATCACTCGACCTCCTTCTCCTACCACGCTTCTCTTCTCTCGACGTCCCCTGCTCCCAATCTCCCCTGCCGCCCGCTCCGTCATCCCCGTATCTCCCCCTCGCCTCACCGCGATCCGGTGCCTGGTCAATTCCGCCGGCAACTTGAGCGAGCGCCCTCCCGCAGCAGAGATGGCCCAGCTTTACCCCGGCTGCGACCGCAAGCACTGGCTCGTTGTATTTGGCGGCAAGCCCGGCGGCGAAGGAGTTACCAAGCAGCAGATGATCGATCGCTACATTAAGGCGTTGGCCTGTATCCTCTACAGGCGAGATTGCTGTCTCTCTTTTCTTGTAAGGCATCAATGGGTCGGCGTTTGTGCGATAGTTTGGTTTTTGTTTACTTGTTTGTTTTCTGATTCGGATCAGCGAAGAGAATGCGAAGAAGAAGATATACAGCGTCTCTTGTGAGGGATACTTTGGATTCGGATGTGAGATTGACGAGGTGGATGCCAACAGGCTGGAAGGTTCGCTTTCTGAAAAATAGTGATTGAACTTGACCTTGCCTAATTGGATGGCGATGTCGTAATAAATCTTCTTCTTCTTTGTTTTTTTATACTTGGCAACAGAATGGCACAAACAAATGCCCCTTAACCCCAATATTCGCTTCGTGTTGCCGGATGCTTATGTGGATCCTGAGTACAGGGACTATGGCGGTAAGCACACTCAACCCTTTTCCTTTTTGCTGCTACACCGTTCTCCATGGCTTATATAATTTGTGTTCTATCAAGTTTCATTTAACTCATATTGGCCAAGCATGCATACAAGTCTGAGTTTTGGACAATGTAATTGTAAGCACACACCTCACCCTGTTGATAGGTGAAGCAGCTCCAGTCCATCTTGGCAAAGCTAAATAGCTGCGGAAGTAGTTAAACAGCAATGCTTAGCTTTGAATGCTGATTAATGGACTGACTAATCCACACCCTTAAATTGGGGGATTGAGAATCTTAGGCGCGATGGTACAATTCATTTGTCAATTCTAGAATCAGTTGTCATATGTGTATATCAGCATAGCGTTGAGCGTAATCCACCACCCTTTCGACAGTCAAAAGTAGCTTCTGCTTTAGTTCATCTTGGCAAAGTTAGCAATGTTTGGCTTTGAATGCTAATGGGAGTATGGGACTGATGTCGAACTCCGTCAATTGTTGTAAGATAATTTGTAAATCTGTTAGTAATTGTCAAATGAATAAGCAGAGCGTTGTTGATGAGGTAGTGGTGAATATGAATGAGAGAGAGAGAGAGAGAGACTAGTATGTTATGTCTGTGATCTGTGTTTGGATTTTGTAATGTGCAATCTAATATTAGTGTGGATGTTGATGGGTTTTCGTTTGTGTTTTGTTTTGCAGGTGAATTGTTTGTGAACGGGGAGATAGTTGCTAGATCCCCAGAGAGGGAGAGGAGAGTGCGGCAGCTGCAAAAGTCGTCGTCACAGAACTAGGTACATTAGTTGAAAATGTTGGCAAGTTGTATTGGTTCGGTTTTGGTCTCAAATCTGAGCGACACTGAAAGCTGTTTGAAACTAAATTGGTTTCGAAGATCTGTTCAATGGTTTGTAGGTGTTGATCGTGCTAAGACCAATTAGATAAGAGGATATATAGAAAACGGAATGGGGTGTCTTTGGATTCTCCAAACACCAATTGCCGCACCAAGTCCGTCCTTCTCTGCCTCCAAATGATTTAGGCTTTGCAGCTCAGGAATCTGAAGTGGAAGAAGGGAGAAACTCCAGCATCCTCTGGTAAACAGATGAGGAGAAAAGGTAGGCAAGGATGGGATTGGAAGGGCGATTCATGCATCGATTTGGCTGCTTCAATCCATCTTGTGGCAAAGCTAATAGGTACTCAAGCTAGCAATGCTAATGGGCAGACTAATATCACAATCCCCTTCTTCCTTCCTGTTCTGCTTCTCAGCTTCAACTTAAATGGGGGATTCAGAATCATAGGGGATGATGCAACCAATTTGTAATCCTGAAATCCGTTGCCAAATGTATAAAGCAGCGCGTTTAGTACACTCGCGGCGAAGTAGCCTTAGTCCATCATCTTGGCAAAGCTAATAGCCGTTGAAGCAAACAACGACTGGCTCGATGAGGATAACTAAGCTGACATACCGGAGTTGGCTGCTTGTTAGCACAGCAGCAGGGTGGTGCCTTGCTGCACCAGACGCATGGTTACGTTCGTGTTCGTGATAGTGGATTAACTACTATCATATTCCATTTATTCCTGTTGTGCTTCTCAGCTTGAACTCAAATGGGAGGGTTCTCGGAATCATACAATTAATTTGTAATTCTATAATCAGTTGTCAAATGTATAAGCAAAACGTTAAGCATTACTCAGCCCTCCCTGTTCTGTTCCTCTTGAATGTCAGTATGGTGTCGAGAATCATAGGGTTGGTACAGCCAGATAAATTTGTACATCTGTGACTGATTGTCACATGAATAAGCAGCCGTTGGTGATGAGGTAGAGATGAATAGAAATGAGAGAGAGACTAGTGTGTTAGTGATCTGTGTTTGGATTTGGTCATGTGGTAAGGTAACATAATATAGTGTGGATGTTGATGGTTTTTGGTTCTTTGGGTTTTTTTGCAGGTGAATCATTTGTGAATGGTGAATGTGTCTGGAAATTCCAGTGTGTCTAATAAAACAGTTAGACTATTAATTCATTTTCTCGATGCTTATTGTTCCTAGCTGCCTCTGGTGCTATATATCTATATCTATCTATACTTAATATTATGGCTATTCAAAAATAATTTCTTGTCACATAAGCACTTGGTGAATGCACAAGTTGCCAAGGTGGACAATTTTTTTACAAACAAAAAACTATTTATTGATCTATTTATGAAGTTGTCTCTCTCTTCTTATAATAATTCTACTCATTTTTACTAAAATTAAAATAATTTAATTTTTTAGGAAACATTTAAACAAAAAAAAAAACACACCTAAGTAAAAAAAGAATTGATTAAACAAACTATAAAGATGGAAAAAGAGAGTCACATATATTGTATTTGTTTAACCCAAACTGATTAAATCAGATTAAGTAAATTTTCAACTCTTTTTTACTAAAACTTAATAATAAGTTACATTTTGATGAAGAAAAAAAACAAGCACACACATAAATATTAATATTTTTCAATACAAAATATAAACGATGGTCTAGGAGAAAATAAGCGTTTGACAATCAATCGACTTTGAGAAATGAACGATATGACTATATGTTTTTTGCTATCAAACACTCACTTCTTTCTTATGTATATACCTATCAAATAAAACAATTATAAATTATATAACAAAATGTCTGGATATAAACTTGACAGAGCAATAATTGTTATTTTTTAAAACCTTCTTATTCATTTCGATTAAATGAAAACATATTAATTATTAATGCAAACTCTTAATTTGTTTCTATCCCTTTCCCCATTTTGATTATCTCTCTAGAAATAAAATCCAACATTGAAAAAAAGAAATCAAGAAAGTATGTCAACCACCATAAAAATAAACAAAGCCCTCTTATTAGTTGCTAAATTTTTTGAGATTTTTAATATTTGTATTCTCATAATTTATAGAGAAGGAAATAGTAATGCATACGAATTTTTTTCTTTGTATGAGAATAGGAGGCAGGAGTTACACGAGACAACGATAAGATGACAAAATTTTGAGCAGTTGTAACATATTTTTGCCTGTTGCCGAAAAAAGTTAATTTGATCATTGTGAAGATGAGGTGAACCAAGCCGAGGGTTGTCGACTGCTCCCTCTTCCTCCTTGATCTGAAGCTGGCAACTGGTCTCACTTTCTCAGCGATATGTTATTGTTTGCAGTTGACTGGCCGAGTTATACTCTTTTTCCCATTCTTTTCTTAATTTCTTCCAAATTATGACTGCTGGATGGTAAATTTTCTCACTCTCGATGAGTGAATATATTTCTTCTTTGTTTTTTACTGGGAAGGGTCGCCATATACTTTCATGTATATAAAATATAATTAGAAGGGTTAATTGGTTGGACTTAGGGCATACCTGATAGATCCTTTGGCTGAATAATTGATCGTTTTTCTTGAATGCCTATTGCAACCCGATTTCTTGAATGTTGAAATGGAAAGTAGAGTTGTGATGATTGTTTATTATATTTTATGTTCATGATTGACATGCTACTACTAGCTAGCTATACAATGATGATCTGGTTAGTAATTAGCAGGTAGCAAAGGGGTTATAAGTAGAAGGGAACATAATTGAGGTTTTATAAAGGTCGCGAAGAAGAAAGAAAATGATAATGGTGGTTTCTTGGTTGTCTATTTCGATGTTTTTTTTTAATTTCTACATGTTTGCGGTGACATTTGTTTGTTTCATTAAGGTGATTTTTTCTGCATTGAATCCCTAACTAAAGATTGATTTTGACATGATTTTTTTCTTACAAACTACTATTTGGATTGATGCATATATTCAGTTCACAAAAGAGGAATCTGAATGATAAAATGAGTTGGGTTGTATTGAAGACTGCTCCTTTCATTATTTTTTAATTTTTATTAGGTAATAAAGCACAATTCTTTTCTGCAGAAGATATGTAGCTCTCTACAAAATATAAATTGTGTTTGATTATATGTAGTTTAATTTGCTGAAAATATTTCTTTAATAAGTTAGTGACAGCTGATAGTTTTGTTTGTGGTTGGTTTTGCTAGATTATTTCAAGGTAATTAAACAAATACGTGGAAGATTGATGGACGTGGATGCTAATGGGTTTCCTCATTATTCCAAAATTGTATGTATATGTGATAATATACGATATTCATGGGATTTAGATAGGGATATTCTCTATTATCATATACCGACATATGAGAAGGGAGAGAAAATAAAAAGCTCTGCGCTTATTTTTTATTATTAATTGAAGCATATTTTCTTATTCTAACTTCTTCTTTTGTGGCCGTAAGTTTTTTAACTTCTTTATAACAATTCTGTGCTAAATAATGAATAATCTCTTATGTTTATAATCTTAAAGGGCGAGTTCGATAAAAAAAAATTCTAAATCAATAAAGAACCGTCTACAAAGAGCTCAGTTAATAAAATTAAAATGTTCATAAATAAACAAAAGGTATACAAGTATGAAATAATACTTAAATAAGGTAAGTGAGATTTACAATTCCATGTATATTACCTTAGCAAACATAAATAATAATAACAATTAGAATACTCTAACGAATTATAAAACAACCAAACAAAATACATCGCCCAACGGGCGGGTAAAAAACTAGTACATAAATAGAGCTAGCGCGTATGTTGACTGAGCTGATATCGTTTTCCAACTCACATGGATACATTACATACTAGCCCCGGCCCGTTGGTCTGGTCTTTGATTATTATGTATTTTATATATGTGCTACTACTTAAATGCGTGTAAATGCTAAATACCAAATAACACAAGTGATATTTAATGTTCACAAAAAAATCATTTATGATTTAGTTTTATATAGTTCAATATATTCTTTAAATCATTTTCCCGTATTTATCTTATTTGTTAATTACGACACAGGTTATAGATATGAAATTGTATGATTTGAAAGGGCATGTTGCTGATTGGTAGTCACAAATAAAGGACCTAAATTGCTAGTTCAGAATTTGATATTGTGCCTGATAAGTTCCAAGTTCACTTTATAAACACAAAAGGTTAGGGGCATAAATCAAGTACCTCAATAAAATTGAAATATGAAGATCTTATGATTCCACGACGTGATCCATTTAAGTCGGGGAAAATCCTATTTAAATTAAAAGGCCGAAAAATGTTATTTTTTTCATTAATTTTTTTGGGGGAATATTCCAGATCTAAGACCACTCTAATGCTCCTTTTCACCATGCATAAACTGAACCAACAATTAGGATAAGCACTAAAGAGACAGATTTATAAAATCTCGCACCCTGAGAAAAGTTTGATTACATATTTAATAAAATTGTTGCAATCCTTCCCACAATAGGTCAAGGAGCTAGACTCCTCCCATCTCCAAATATTCATCTCCAAAGTTAATCGTTAAGTGCATACCCCCAAAATTCAATTTTAAGTATGATGCAATTAGCTTATAGAGATAAAAAGAAATACACATGTTCTTGCAATTAATCTCACCTAAAACGTTGAATAAATTTAGGAGTGGGGAAGGCAAATTTGTTGATAAGGGTGATGTAGGTTTCATTTTTGTCATTAAGGTACTACTTAAGAGATTCGAACCTAAGACCTCCAGGTTCTAGGCTAGTAGTATTACCACTAGACCAATTTGATCGACCAACAAAAGAAAGTGCATTCCCTATCATTAGGAGACTCAAATTCGGTGGAAGGAAAGGGAAAGATGAAAGGAATTAATTTATGAGTCAAGAGAATGAGGGATAACGAAGCACAATAGCAGGGAAAGGGGTGACGTTTATTAACCATTATGTTTTTTTTACAATAGAAAACAAAATCTAAACAAAATGAAACTACCATTTCCTGTAAAAAACATGTTTGAAAATATATGGGTCTAGAGGCTTTTGAAAATTAAACTTGAAAATGAAAATAGTGTTTATTAATGATTTTTATGATCTGACAACTTTGGTGATCTGATTGCCACATTTTTAAATTTAATCGGTATTTGAAAAATTGTACCGTATCAACGATCTGACAAAAAAATAGTCTATAGTAACCTAAGCTGGTAGGGTTGAAAAAATCGATCAGATCGTTTGAAAACCATGGACTAAACCAGACCGCACAGTTTGGTCTAGACCATAGACCGTTAAGAATTGTCTGATCTGGCCATGATCTGTATTATATGATATTTCGATCTCTAGGTCTGGTCTAGTCTAGACCGCGGTTTACCGAACCAAACAATGCACCCGGTCGACTTCCCAATACTTGTTCACAGCCCACTCGGCCAATTTCCCCCAACGAGATCCAAGTCTCAACCCTAACTTCGTGAAACTAGACCCCTCTTTCATTCAGAACAACATTTCACCAAAGATTAGAGACGATTGTGTCTCCATATGACATTATGTTAATGTTTATGACTTTATGGTGCAAGTTGACATGCTTCAACTTTGTATTTTTTTTTTGTTTACTGAGATTTAGGGTGTTAAAATTAGTCAGGCAGGTTGGAGTTTATGTTTTAAGGCAAAAGATAATTTTTCCTCGATTATTGGATCAATTTTTTGTGGTTGACTAAAAAAATTGTTCATTTTTCGTTCAATGTGGTCTATATGGACCAAACCGCATAGGCGTGGTCTGGTCTAGACCGTATAGTACGTGGTCTGGTCTTTGGTCTATACTCCAACCAATCGCTTTGGACAGTAGACCATATATATGTTCTGGTCTGGACCAGACCGCACTGTTTTCCAACCCTATTAGCCGATAGGCAATTTTGGTGGGATGAAATGATTGAGCGACGATTTTAACACAAAATATCTTATCCTTCACTTTTTTGTGCCAATTTTAATATAGTTTTACAAAATGTGTACAAAATTAATTTATGTAACAAAATATATAGAAAATAAATTGAGTCAAACAATTATCAAAATAGGTGAACCCAATTTTTTGTGCTAGGTTAAATCTACTTTTAGTGAACAAATTACATATAATTTCAAAAA